GCATTTCTCAACGAAAAACCCAATAAACAAACCAGCCATGAATAAGAGAACACTCTTGATAGCAGCTGTATTTCTTTGTACATCCAGTGGAAAAAGACAGTTAAAAACATCACAAGTTGACTCAAAACTCTGTCAGCCTCAGCCCTGTCTCAGTTGCGTCTCAGTTGCAGTTGCATTGCAACTTAAACGCTGAAAAAATATTCGCCTGATACAAATAGGGTCCTCATCTAAGAGAAGTGTTGATGATGCTGAGGAGTCAAATGCCGCAGTCAAGCGATTCTGCAAGAAGAAGTGTATCATTCACTGCACCGATGATAGCAGGGATTTAGTTAATCCTAAAGACGAGGAGTCGTGGAAAACCTTGCTACGAGCAGCACAGTTTCGAAATTATCAAGAAATCGTAGAACTTTCGAAGTCTTTAAGTGAAGGAGAAGTCCCGCTCATTTACTACCATCGAAAGTGTTGAAGCATTTTTACAATGAAAAAGTTATTAGATAAATTATCCCAGCAATCATCCAATAGCCAGACTCAACCGGGAAAAGTGGCTAGGAGAGTCTCTATTCGAGGATCTTCCAATATTTCCACAACATACGAGCGCATTTATATTTTTCGTGAAAAGCCAAAATATTTCAAGGGTACAAGGAATCGTGAGCCTTTAGTACAATGCCGAGATATGCGTGCAGATAGCTCTATCAAAAAGATAGCTACACAATAGAATGACAGCAAGATTCTTGCCCTTGTGTCGTGCGAATTAGTTGCAGCAGAGGCTTGTTATCACAGGACATGCTACAGGAGTTACACTAGACCAGAAGCAAGCAGCAGTGTGAACCCTGATATGAGCAGTGAATCTCCGGATGATGAATATGCCTGTCTAGAGTCTGATGCTTACCAGATGCTTTTTGACTTCGTCAGGTCAGATGTCATAGAAAACGAGAAACTCGTAAGGTTGTCTGAGATGACGCAGTTACTTGTACAGTATCTAATGTCATTAGAAGCTAAGGAATGTAAGCCATCAACAAAGAAGCATATCAAAAGGAACATAGAAGCAGAATTCAGTGAGTTGATCGAGTTTGAAAACTTGCTAGACAACAACCGTGTATTCCTAATCCCTGCTAGCCTAACACCAGTGCAAATCGCCAGAAATGTACCAAATATCCTTATGGCAGAAAAAGAAGACAAAGGCTCAACAACAAAGATCTCCAATATTCAGAAAGCTGCAGCTGACATCCGCGATGCCATTCGAAACAAAGAAAGCAAAATGTCATGGCCACCGCGCCCTTCAGAGCTCAATGACAGCGCCATAGAGGTCCCTGAAGAACTAAGTGCGTTTTTGTATACCTTGCTAACTGGCAACAAAGATTCGTCAGAGAGAGAATGTTGTCAAAGAGTCCAGCGGTTGATGAAGTCGTTCGCGCAAGACCTAGTATTTGGAGTAACCAGAGGGAGGATTAAACCGCCTAAACAAATTCTTCTCTCGTGTGCTGTAAAAACTCTCACAGACAATGTTGAGCTAGTCTCTATACTAAACCGTTATGGTCATGGTATTTCTTATTCCCAGCTTGAGGAAATTAACACAGCTCTTTGTACGCAGAAAATGGCAACAACAACAAGTGAAATTCCTCTACCTGCCAATATACAACCTCATGTTAGTACCACATTAGCATGGGATAATATTGACCGACTCGAAGAGACTCTTTCAGGTGAAGGCACTTCACACCGTGTAAATGGCATAGCAGTACAGGCGAGACATTTTGGCCCCCATCCCCTCACTGAGCAGCCACCTAGGATCACTAAAAGTAAGCAAAGGAGTGTTGAACCACTTGATGTTGTTGCTCTACCCATTTACAATGTAGGTGAACGTCAAGGCCCTAAGCCAAGAGCATATGTTGAAGTAAACGACAAGGAAGTGTTAGAAAATGCCCGAAGAAAAAACCTCTTGTGAGTTTTAGTGGGCCTACATGCACAGATGAACCAGAAAGTTAGTGGATGGACTGGCTATAACATTTTGGTGCGCAACGAAATTGAGGCTCGTCCAGACAATATCGGATACCTCCCCACCATTGATGCACCTGCCACTAGCATGTCAACTGTTCATGAGATTTTGGTCCGCTCCCAGAAGATAAGAGAAGCTCTTGAACTGAAGAGCATAGTACTCATATTTGATCAAGCTCTGTATGCCTAGGCAACAGAGATAGCTTGGAAACATCCAGACAAGTTTTCAGATATTGTTATTCGGATGGGTGTCTTCCATACAGAGTGCACACTTCTTTCCATAATCTGGAAGAGATTCAAAGACGCTGGTTTAAGGGACGTTTTCATTGAATCAGGGGTAATTGCTGAAGGTTCTGTGACAGCAGTTTTTGAAGGACGTAGATACAACCGTGCTGTCAGGTTTCATAAACTGATGTATGAAGCACTCCAAAAACTTATCTGGAAAGGATTTCAGACGTGGGTAGAAGTAAAGTTCCCCGAGAAGAAACAGTTTATCCAAGATTTCTTTGCCGGATTGAAACCTTTATACAACAACCTGTGCCAAAAGGAACAACAGAGGGTGTTGGATAGTCAAAGTTTCCCAGAGTTTATCACACTGTACGATATGTACCTTTACTATCTACGCAATAACAACGGGAAACTATCTAGTTTCTGGATGTCATACATTGATCTCGTTGACATTCTGCTGAATATGGTGAGAGCATCAAGAGAAGGACATTGGGAGCTACATTTATCAGCCATTGAACAAATGATACCATGGTGCTTTGCCTATGATGACGTAAATTAT